GGACCTTAAGGAAAGCTCCACCTGAGGGTCATGCATGGCCTTCCTTAAATAGTCAATACCACTTCCTTTTGATAGGGAAGTTCAGAGAATATAAGCTTGCTTGGAACATGAGTTAGGATTTAGGAAAGCATTCTGTTTTATCTCTTTGGATATTGACTGTGTGTCATTCCCCTAAGGTATTAAACAAATAAAACCAAGCTCCATCATATTTGTTTGCTCGGGGAGAAAGGCACAGTAATCTCACTTGTGTGAATTTTACTTCAGGGAATTCTCTATTGCGTGGATTTATCTGATACTGAATTGCTAAAATGAACAACTCATTCTTCGTTCACTTAACTCCTCTCCAGGAGTCTCTTGCCTCCTAACAGGTTGGGCGTGGGCCAGCTCATCTCATTTCGCTGCTGGTCACCAAGGTTCTGTTTTTGGTTCGAACACAAAGGCAGCAGGAAATGTCTAGAGGCCACACTGGACAGTTAGTTGGGGTGGCAACAACATTGCCCCAGAAGTACTCTTTCTGTGTCAGTATCTCTGTGGGGTGTGGGCCTCCATTAATCGGGAAGCACAAGACACATGAGGAGGCAGAATCACTGAAATTATTAAGATTTTGCATAGTTGCCAAGGCCCCTTAGAGCATGCGTAGGAAGGGAATTAGGTGAAAATGGAAAATTATAACTCTGGATCAGGGTTTCCTACTTGCAGAACAATTACCATTTGGGGCCAGGTAACTTCTCCGTTATTGGGGGCTGATCTCTGCATTGCAGGATGTTGAGCAGCATCCCTGGTCTCTACCCACTAGATGCCAGTAGAACTTTCCTTCCCAATTACGTCAGGCAAAAATGTGTTCAAACATTGCCAAATGTCTCCTGGGGAGGAAAATCATCCCAGTTGAGAACCACTGCTGTAGACTGAAGGATAACAGTTTACTGGGGTTATTTTTTTTTTTCCTTCTTCTTCTTTTATTTCCCTAATCATTTTAGTTGTAGCATCAGGGTTCCCTCGGTTTAGATAAGGCATTTCCAAATACTCTGCAAATAGAGCAGCTATACCCAGCACAAGGCTTTGTGGGATATTCCGGTGGTTCTCAGAGAAACGCGAGGTTTAGGAATTGGGTTTTGGATTAACTATTTCTGACCCTGTTGTTTTCTAATGAGTTTTGGAGGAATTTTAATGTTTCCTTCTCCCTCTCTGTTTGGCTGTGTTTGCTGTTTGATTTAACTTAAAAGCAAACAGCTTCCCAGTTCAACTGTGAATGCGGAGTGCTGATCCTTCTTTGTCGCCAATCTCTCTAGCTAACCTACCTGCGGCCCAGGCCATGGGCAGGCTCTGGCTGGCCAGGAAACAGGCAGGGCTTGCCAATCCTGTAACCCATCTCAACCATTTGATGAGACTCCTGATCTCACTGCAGCAAATATCACTCTGGATCCTGCCCACGTTTTCTGGATTCCGAGCTGCCTCTTGAGGGAGTCACCGCTCCCCACGGAGGCAAGGCTTTCCTGCCTTGAGCCCAGAATAACACGGCAGCTGCTGAGAACACCTCGAGTCCTTTTGATTTCTCTCCGTAGTCACGTTTTATGTTCCCTTTCCCAGACGGGATGAACCAGAAATCATGCTTTTTTGGAAACAGATTTTTCATAAGAAGGAACTAAAACACCCTGAGTCGTCAGCAGCAGAGTCCGTGCTCCGAACCCCCAGCCTCGTGCCATTTCAGCTGAATCAGGCGACCGACAACTTGCCGGTCACCTGCTTGGGGCGTTCACGTCCCCTGGTCTGTATTTTTCACTGCATAACAGCAATGCGTGAGCCTCAGCGAGAATAAGAGGGCCATGAACAACGGCCCCCTTTTCTAGGCCTGTCTCCTTGTTCCAGGAGTAGTGAGCGAAGAGACCAATTAATAGCATGGATGAAAGCCGAAGGACATACGGTTTGCCTGAGAAGAAAAATGAACATTCTTGCTTCTTGATCTATGCCAACTTTGTACGGGGACAGCTGCTGCCACGGGTAAACACCGCTATAAGTTAGCTGTGCCTTAAGGTGTGTGTCACCACAGGCCACAGGGAGGCACGGCGACGCTGGTCTCTCCTCCCTTCCCACCCCTGAGCTCTTATCCTTAAATGAACTTTGTTTTTTGACCAGCTCACTAATTGTGATTGAAAACACCAGCTCCCCAGCAAGGCACAAGCCCTGGAGTTCGCAGCAGCAAGACAGGCCCTAATTGCTCCATTTACATAAAAGTAGAAACATACAACGTCTAAATATAAATCTCTGGCACATCGTGCCTTTTGCAATTACAGTAAAATAAGGTACCACAGTTTCCCTCCCGGCTCCTTCTCGCAGCAAGCTGCTCCACCGGGTTCTCCAGGGGCTGCTCCTCGAGGCGAGAACAGAGCCCTGCAAACGCTCCAGCGAGTAGTTGGGAGCTTTGTGAAGTCGCCAGTAAATCAGGCCGCCTGCACTAGGTGAAAAACGCGGTGGCAGCGGGCCACCGTGCTAGCGCAGAAGCGGGTAGGACCCAACTCCACACTCGGCAAGGGGACAGCTCGTGGGGCGTGAGCGCTCCTGGCGCGCCTCTGTCCGCGCTGGAGCCAGCCCCGCGGGTCCGCGTCCCGGTCCCTGACACTGGCCGTGCTTTCGACCCTGGCACCGAGGGCTGGGTTCAGAGATTCCCAGCGGCACTCACTGAATAGTGATTTTTTTTTTTCTCCCCCTCTCTGAATTCTTTAGCTGCCAAAAGGGGGGAAAAAATCAAGAGCTGCTCTTAAAAGAAGTTGCCCTTGCTGGTGCTCGGGGTAAAAATAGAGGCGGCCGCTCGGAGCGGCTTGGCCCGGACTCCAGCACCGCGAGCCGGGCTCGAGCCGCGGCCGCGTTCCGGCGTGATCCCCGGGAGCTGCCAGCAGGTGTTGCTCAAGGTACAGTAGCAGGCCGAGCAGCGGGACCGCAGGGCCGGGCGTGGGGACGCTGCTGGGGGAGGGGGCCGGAAGTGAAAGAGAAACCAAACCGAGGCAGGAGAAGTAGAGGCTGGTCAGGAGTTGGGCTGACCAGCTTACCCCTGGGCCCTTGAGTTCGGAAGGGAAGAGATCATTCCCAGTCCACGATATTCGACAGAAGTTATTTTAACCTGCCTGCTTCCTCTACCACCCCCACCTTAATTTCCACTGAGTGAGGAGGCATTTCCAGTGTGGCTCAGCCCTGAGGCTGGGGATTCAGGTAGAGACTGACATCACTGCTGGTGGGCTGACCTGGTAGGTGGGCACCTCAGTGGCATCCGGTGGCCAACTCGATCCGAGTCACACACGTATAGGGTTGCGCCTCTAGTCGGGGGCTCTGCAAATTTCTGGGACACAAATGTGGACAAGGAGCCACCAGGCAGCTCACAAAGAATATCACCTATTGTTTTCTGAGCACGCCTTTGACCCTGCAGTTGAGTATTGCCCTTCCCACTTTATAGACCAGGACACGGAGTTCCGAGGTTATGTGGTTAGTGAGCAGCGGAGCCAGGGTCTGATCTGGGTTTGTTTTGCGCCCCCAAAGTCATAAACACGATGGTATTTCCAGGACACGGGGGCTCATGCCTGGGAGAGGGGTGGGTTCAGAGGCCCTGCAGGCCAGGGCTGTCCAGGAGTGCTCATCAAAAAGGCTGGTGAAGTTCCTTTCTTACAGAGGGGTTGGGTCCCTCCCTCTGATTCCAAACTGATGGGCAGGCAGTTTTGGAGTTAACCAGCACTGATCTTGTTTCTGTCTTTCCTTCCCAGACTCCCTCTGTTCTTCTACAGCCTAATGATTTAATTTCTTACTTTATTTCTGCTTATGCAGTTCTTAGAATACCCCCCCACCCCAATGTACAGCTCACCATCCACACTCTCTCTGTGTTTAGCCAAGGCAGACCCTCCTACACAGCAAACTTCTGGTGTCCTAAAGGAACCTCCTTAAACTACACATCAGGAGGCCAGAGCCTCTATATTTTGCTTGTGGGCACAGTGAAAAGTTTATTTTATGCATGTTAAATCCTGCATACAAAACAACATATCTGGTCATATGGCTTTCATTAGCTCCCAATTTTGCACATTTTATTCAACTTGTCATGAGTACCCGGCTTATGCTTCAGATATACTCCTTCAAACAACCCTTCCCCACTATGCTTCTCTGAAGATTCCTTCCAACTGTGTTATTTCTCAGCCTTGCTAGCCACCCTCTCCCCCAGCAAAAACTCTAGCCATCTTAACCCCTATTCCAAAGAAAGTTTGTTTCTTTTCATTAATCTCATGTTATATTTGTAACAATTTAGAAATCATAGGACTTGAAGTTCTGATAAAAAAGAATGATGTGTGAGCTTGCTTTCTTTCTCTGCTAGTTGGATTGTGATTCTAAAGGCTTGGGGAGGATATTTATAAAGTTCACTAGCAGAGAATGAGTATTTTCAAACTTCTTGGTGATGCATGATTTATGAAACAGACTTTCAATGTCAAGATGTAAAATAACAGTGTAAGTCAGGGGAGGGCAGACCATCATCCTATAGGTATACATATTTTCCTATTTTGTCCTCAGTGAAGGATCTTATTTTAGAAAGTAAAATCAGAATCCCTATAAAGAGCACTGCAAATTTTCTTCCCTGTAAGAAACAATAAAATACTTTGTAAATAGAGGCAACTTCATGAAGTAACAGATGTTTTATGTGAAGACATAAAACCGAACCTGAATATAATGAGAAGTGTGTGCTCAAGCAGTAAAAGTTGGAAGCTGGACACTCAGTGAGCTATAGCTCCTCAATGCCAGGGTTTTTCTAAAAGGTAGTCTAGTCAGTCAGAGGTTTAACTGGCTCAGTGATCACCAAGTAGTATCCCAGCAGCCAAGAAAGGCTTTCCATTAGATAATGAATTATGAAATATGTCTCACACTGGAAAAACCAGTCATCTGCTGATGTCATGCTGATTCTAACCAATCCCAAACAAAGCCCCAGCCCTCCTCTGTTTGAGTGGTACCAATGTGTGAGTGTGCAAAGAAGTAGTACAGTATAAAACTTCAGAGTGCCAATACCATGAAGAGGAACTCCTCAGACAGCTCTTACCACATGATACAGGAGTCTGCTGGTGAAAGAGAGAGGACCGGAAAGGTAATGCTTTTTAACTCTTACTTAGGAGGTCTTGACACATGCAGAGTCAGAAAGGTTAGAAGGAATTTAATTACTGCACTTCCATGCACGTTGTTGATTTGTACCTTTTGATATGATTCAGGCAGGTTAATGCAGCTTTTAATAGTGGAGCATGCAAATAGATGGCGTGTGTATACAGCCCACTTATATACAAGTACATATGCCACAGAAAAAGCTGTTTTTAAGACTTACATTCACCAACAATAAATTCAGGGAACACACACACACTCACAGACAGAGGGGATCCAAATATTGATAAGCTGCCCTTATCTACATTTGGCTATTAAGACTCTCTGAGTCATTTGGAGTCATTAAACTTTGAGTTTTATTTCAGACTCTCTTGTAAAATTTAATTGGACTACAACATGCTTTGGGTACTGTATATGTGACGCCAAATACGGTAGATTATGTTAAGTTTTGGATTTCAAAGATGTTTTATTAACCGGTTATAATGCAGATGTCCCCTCCCCATTCTCTTTCACCATCCCCTCCAAAAAAAAAAAAAAATTAGACTCTTTAGGGAATGTTCACCAAGTCATAAGAAGAAGAGCAGAGTAATTGATGTTCCTGAAGGAGAAATCCCAAACTGTGATAGATGGCTTGGAACAGACAAAGTCTTGCAAGTAATTGTTTTGGAAAAGGGGGACAGTGTGTCAGATTCAGAGAAGCATTGTTATCTGTGCAAACTGTAATTTTACCTTAATGCCACAATTTCTTCACCCTCCCCCCTTGCCCTCAGATCCTAGGTTTGTAGGAATGATACTTATTAACTTTTTCCACCCAGAGCGCATTGCTTAACTATAATACTCTGAACACACTAGGTGTCAGATATAAGCCGACTGTATCTACAGAAACTGAGGGCTTATGTGTGGGAAAGAAACCGAGAGAGAAGGAAAGCTTTAACAGATGGACCTCTTAAAGATACTTCTGCATGATAAAAGCAATAAGACAGAAAATGAAAAAAGGGTGGGGGGGAGAATAAAAAAAACTCAGAGAGGCATTGTTTAAAAATTCACATTTTTCTTTTTCTGTGAACATTGAAATCCGTGATGATTTCATTTGTGCTGTTCCTTTGAGGGGAAAAAGGAGCCATCAAGGGGCCAGTCCAGGAACCCGTTGGTCCAGGACAGGGTAGGCGGCAGGCTGAAAAACTCTCGCATGGCAGAGGAAATCATTGGCCAATATATTTTAGAGATTCTTTTCCCCTGGGACCAGTTATCCAAGCCCTAGGAGCACACTGTTTGTAGGAAATGATGTGGGAAAGGCCAAAGGAACTTTGCACTTTACCTGTGAAGTCGGGGCAGGAGGTGGTAAGCTGTAATTTGTGAATCTGTGAGTGTGTGTGTGTGTGTGTGTGTGTGCGCGCGCGCGCGCGCGCGCGCTGCAGGGCAGAAGGGGGCGGCGGCTGGGGAGAAGGGAGAGAGTTTCAGGTGACAGGAGCAGGTAGAATATTGCCCAGGCATCCTTCGGTGCCCGGCTGCATTTTGCAGTTGGGAAAAGTAGAGTGTCTGAGATGACCCCAAAGAGAAGTTCCACTCCGTTCCCCTCAGATCCCCTGCCGGAGCGGGTGATCCTGAACATTTAAATATGAATGAATGGGAAGCCGGCAACCTCCGGGACTCCCTATGGCCCGGCCCCGCTGACCGGCCCCGGCGGCTCCCGGCCCTCTGCCCGGACACCCCCCCCCACCTGTCCGCCCAACTCCCAGGAACCCCGCCTCCCGAGGCCGGGCGGGGGGTCACCTAGAGCTGCGGCCACGTAGGGGTGGAGGGCCCTGGGGGCAGACCGTTTCAACCTAGTCATCCCAGGAGATTGGGACAGTGCCTCCCCGTGGGGTTTTCTTTCCCCTCCAAAAGAGGAAGAAGGTGAAGCAAGGGGACTGGGCAGAGAAAGAAAAAAAAAAAAAAAAGGGGGAAGTAGAACAAAATTAGGAGGATTTCTTTCAGAAGGGAAAGTAGAACTCCCGAGAATGGTGGTATCTGAAGAGAGGTGTGTGTGAGGGAACAGTGAGCAGAAGGAAAGCAGCCTGTCAGAAAACGGGCTGTCCCTCCCCTTCCTAATCGCAGCCTCTACTCGCAGACAAACTCCCTCCCTCGCCCATTCACGCACTCACTTAGGACCAATCGTTCTGTCTCTCTCTCTCCCTCTCTCTCTCTCCCTCTCTCCCCCTCTCGCTCCCTCTCCCTGTCTCTCTCTCCCTGTCTCTCCCTCCCTCCTCCCTCCCTCCCTCTCTCCCCCTCTCCCCCTTCTCTCCTCTCTCTCCCTCTCTCCCTGTCTCTCTCCCTCCCATCCTCTCTCTGTCTCTGTCTGTCTCCCCCCCCACCCTGTCTCTCCCTCCCTCCCTCCCTCCCTCTCTCCCTCCCTCCCTCCCTCCTTCTCTCTTACTCGGAGACAGTCAGAACTCTCCTCCCTGACAACCACAAACCTACAGCACTGACTGCCTTCAGAGAGGGAACCTGCAAACAAAACTTCACAGAAAACTTTTTGTTCTTGTTCCAGAGAATTTGCTGAAGAGGAGAAGAAAAAAAAAAAAGAAAAAAAAGAAAGGAAAAAAAAAAAAAAAACCTGTGCGTGAGGGGGGAGGAAAAGCAGGGCCTTTTAAAAAAAGGCAATCACAACAACTTTTGCTGCCAGGATGCCCTTGCTTTGGCTGAGAGGATTTCTGTTGGCGAGTTGCTGGATTATAGTGAGGAGTTCCCCCACCCCAGGATCCGAGGGCCACGGCGCAGCCCCCGACTGCCCGTCCTGTGCGCTGGCCACCCTCCCAAAGGATGTACCCAACTCTCAGCCGGAGATGGTGGAGGCCGTCAAGAAGCACATTTTAAACATGCTGCACTTGAAGAAGAGACCCGAAGTCACCCAGCCGGTGCCCAAGGCGGCGCTTCTGAACGCTATCCGAAAGCTTCATGTGGGCAAAGTGGGGGAGAACGGGTACGTAGAGATAGAGGATGACATCGGCAGGAGGGCAGAAATGAATGAACTCATGGAGCAGACCTCGGAGATCATCACGTTCGCAGAAGCAGGTCTGTGCGGGGCATTTGGGGGTGGGGGCTGCGTGGCTCTGACCGTCCGGGGACGAACTTCTAGCCCCCAGCCGCGGGGCGCCGCCGGGGGCGGGAGGGGGTGGTGGTGGAGGTCATTCGGTATTGGGCACCGGTGGCGGCCGCAGGGGAGGCGGGGGGAGAGGACTTCACAGAAACGGAATTATAGGTTGAGCCCTGGCTGGAGATGGCTCGCTCACACTTGCCCAACTCAGCCGGCCACCCCGGAGGAAGCTCCAAGGGCCAATCTGGAGCTGGAAGCCGGGCTGTGAGAGGCTCCCTCGCCCTGCCTCTGAAACCAGATCCCCACAGCCCCGAGGAAAGCCCGGGCATTTTCGGGTGCTGGGAGAGCCCAGGAGGCTTCCGGACCCCCCATCCAAAGTTTTTATGGGGGGGAGGCGTGGAGTGTGGGGTCGGGGTGGACCGGCACAGATGAAGTCATTGTCTTAAAACAAACCTTCCCTTTAAAAGTCCAGTCAGGGGCCACACCAGAGAAGCAGGGCATACTTATTAGTGACAGTCCTTTTTACCTTCAGAAACTCTGTCTTCTAAGAGCACAGGCATCACATTCTAGGCAGTAAGGAGGGACTTTGGGGGACAGTTGACATTGAACCAGCAGTCACTTTTGGAACACTGACTTTTGCTCTGTCAACAACAACAACAACAAAAAAGAGTTTTGTTCTCTGCAAAGTTACTAAGAGCTCTCTGCCAAGGAATGCAACCTTGACAAAGTGCTCTCAAATACTACACTGAACTCTCACTCAATCCTTAAGAGGAAGAACTTTAATAGATTCTAATCATTGGCTCAGGACCACACTAACCTGTTGCTGAATAGAAAAATACCTGTCAGGAGTGTGGCCATAGACCTGGAGCCAGGTTATTTTTACAGTTATGGGACACAGACCCTTCGCATGCTGCAAGCCCATGCACGCCCCCCGGCACACAGATGTGTTAATGCCCTGTTACTTTCATGGTAATGCCAGCCTAAAGAATTGTATCCCTTGCCAGATCCATTTGAAAGGAATGCCATTGTTTTGTTTGGTGGAGCATATGGCCAGTAAAGTACGTGCAGGGACTCCCAGCATTTCTGTTTAAAAGTTTGCCGCAGCAGTATAAACAATTAAGGCAACACTCAGAATTTCCAATCCTGAAAACCTGTTGACTCAGATGTTCTGTTTTCAAGAAAACCATGCCAGACCTGGGCATCCTTTTGGGGGAGCAGATAGCCTGCTGGCTTCCCGGCTTCCCTGGTGAGAGAAGCCCTGACGTCCTCCAAGCTTGCCGGCAGGACAGTCTCTCTCTCCTCTCTCTCTCTCTCTCTCTCACCAGAAGCTTCTTTTCAAAGAAGGTCTTTCTTTCTCTAAGCTCTTTCTTGACGCAGCCTCCAAAGGACATGATCATTATGACTTTATCTTTTGAAGCTTCTTGAGAAAACAAAGTCAGGTTGGTGGTTTCACCTTGCCACTTGTAGGAAAGAAAGTGCTTACTGACATTGAGTCCAGGGGAGGGCAATGGGTTCCAGTGGTCTAGAGGTCTGTCTGCTCCCTGTGCAAAGGGACCCTATATTGGTTTTTATATACCAATTACCACACATGATGGCTTTAATTGCAGGTCCTACTCAATTGGCCTTACCGCGTCAGATGACTAAGTATACCTATGCCTGTGACCACTTTTAATATACACCTGATGTAAGCAACAGCCTCTCTTCCTGACCTAGCTGACTTGTCTAGCAAATCACGCTCTTGGCATTGAGAGGTTTTGCAGTGAAAGAATTTGACCTTTTACATTCTTTCTTACTTGTGGCCTTCATCTTAGTGGCTGTCTTTTTCTCATTTATATGAAATCTTGTCTTTTTTTTTTTTTTACTTTTCTGTTAGGTGTTTAGTTTAAAAGAAATTGAGTGACTTTTTTAAAAGGTGATTCATTTGACTCACACGTTGACTCCAGTTTAAGGTTTGTAATGGAAAACTCCTCCTGGTTGAGTTTACAACTTGACTTTGGGTGAGCTGCTGGAGTCACAGAAAAGGTTTATGACACACTTACTTATTTTTCTCCTCTGAGAAGTTTCACACTTCAACTTCAAGTTGATTTACTGTGACTTCGCAGAATTAATGATTGCTATCTGGACAATCTACTCTCCAAGTGGAGTACCAGATGAGTATTTTGTAGCTGATTTTGCCAACCAGGAAAGAGCTTTATCCTCTGAATATACAAAAATGTCTTGTTGCTTTTGGAATAACTCAACCTTAATAATATTCAAACTATGTCAAATGTAAGAATTTGGAGAAGAGCGGAGGGTATTCATCTTTCTTTCCTTCCCAAACTATTTTGTACCACATGGAATCCAGTGAGTCACTGTCACCGAGGCCCATACCACAGATGCATCCCCGTAGATGTATCTTTCAAACTTAAGATTCCCCAGTTGGGGGGATTCATGTTTAATTTTTGCCTCGACCCTTCTTGACGGTTAAATAAAACCCATGCTGTGGCCCAGCAGCTGAGGGACTACAAAAAGTTCAAGTGTCTAGAACTCTCGGAACTGAGTTTGTCCCATTTGGGCTCAGGTGGAAGGTGCCCCATCTTTGTAAAGCTGATACAAGTTGTTATTAACTAAGTGGTGAGGAATTGCACTCGGGCCCTCTGAAATTTCTCCCAACAAATAAAAATTATGCTTTTTAACGCATGTCACCCAAGATTGCTCACCAAGATTGTAGCCGGACAGCTGGTACAGAATGTTACCTTAAGACCTTAAAGAAGGGATGGATGGGGAGGGTCAAATCAGGTCTCTGTGTAATTGTCCGTGGAGCTACAATCAGTGGCCCTCTTGATGGTTCTATCTTATTTTATCTTGCTGTGATCCATGACAATATCTGGTCAGTGTACAATAACAGCATATCACTGAGTCTCCATATGCAACCAGATGTATATGCTGATTATCATCATCAACTTAGCAATCGATAGCACTTGTGGAAGAACAGATAGGGGCAGAAAGACAAATGAAGCTCCAGGAAATGGGAAATTGCTCACTAAAGCCCAGGTGTTGTTGAAAGTAACACATAAATCTCCCCTCTTGGAGGGTTCTGGTTACAGAAGAGTTGAATTAGACATATACACTTCACAAGCAGGGCTCTAAGAAGGCTTGCTTGGATGACTGTTTTCCCCCCAGCCCAAGAAAGCCATCTCAAGGTGGAGGTGACTCCCACCGATTCCATGCCAGCCCAAGGAACTTTCCTGGGAATTACCCCTCACTGCAGGGTGCTTTTAGGGGTTACACGCTTTCTTCTCTGAAGAATGCAAAGCAGTCGGCCACAAGAGGGCGCATTCCAAAGACTTTTGCTCCTTAGCAGTTAATCTAGGGAAAGGCATTTTCAGCTCCTGGAAGCCCCATTCTGTAGCGCCCAAATCTTGGTGCTTATCAGTTGCCCCCTGCTTCCTCTCATCCTCCAGAAAAAGTTAGGATTTTATGGGATGGGAGAAACATGACTACCTGTGACACAATAAATGTGACAGGGGAAAGGAAATGGGGATTCTAGTGATACATGTGAACATTCCGGAGCTCTATGGAAGACAGAGGAATGATAAATTTCAGAAGCAAACAAAGCAGAGCGTGGAGAAATGTGACCATGAATCATCAGCAGCACTGATCTGCTCACACATCTCTCCCTAAGACGGCTGGCTGCCTGGATTTTACCAAAACGCCTTCCATCTCCCCTCATTTCGTTGCCTGGTTTGCCTGTCTTATCAATGCTTTTCACCAGCGACAAAGGACAAGTGACTTCCAACAGGGAGGAAAGGGCCGTTTGCTGGCTGCCTTGTGAGAAATTGGGTACAGCTTCGGAGCATGCGTTTGTTTCCGAGCTGAGTGTGGAGCCAAATGGGGGAGGAGAGACAAGAAGCGAGATGCCTAGTGGTTTGGGCCTGTGACGTAGGTGGGTCAGCGTTGGGGTGGGGGGCCCTCAGAGGGCAGAAAGTCCGCTTTTGTATTTGGAGAACTGGGAGTCATACCTTCCCAGGCACTTTTAGGGAAAACACGTATTTGTCTTGGCCCCTCTTCGGCTACAATATACTCGAGCATGAGCTGTAGATCAGAATTCCTCATACTCCACTGGTTCCTAGATCCAAAATCAAAAGTGCAAAAGTTCTCAGGAACTTTGGAAGAAGTCTCTGAAATTTCTGTGGGTTGGATCTTAAGAATTTTTTCTACTTCTTTTCGGAACCTAAATCCTTGATCTCTCTCTCTCTCGATTTCACCATCATTGAAACGGAAGACACCCGAATGTGGCCGAGCATTTACAATTCAATAGCAGATCCTAAGAAAAAAAATATGAAGGCTAACAAAATCAATCCAGATAATTTATGACCAGACTTGTAGTTCTGCCTGCTACAGGCAAAACCTTGGACTGTAGGTGAAGGGAAGCATAACCTCTAAGATCTCACCTGATGCCTTCTGCAGAAACCCCTGGAAACAGTCCAAATGCAAAGTTAGTGCTTCAGAGAACACACATGCGTAACTGGTCACCCCGTATGCTCCTACCAGTGACTGCACCAAATCTAGGCACAGTGAAATCTGGGTGCAGAATGGAAAATTCAAGTAACAGCCGCATTTTACCACAAGGCTTTTCCCCCGTGGCGAGTTAAAACCCTCTATAAACAACAAGATTTTCCACATTCACATTAGAGACATAATTATTACCCGTATGTACAAGCGCAGCATGCTTTAGGCAGGACCCTGGTGAGGAAAACAAAACGGAACACAAACGAAACACTGCGTGTGTGTGTGTGTGTGCATGCGTGCGTGCGTGCGCGTGTTGCTTATTTCGTTGGAAATGTTCATACGCCCACAGATCTGAGGTGCAGGGCTTGAAGAAGAGCAGAATTTTGAGTCCTGGTGTGGGGGATGGGAACAGCAACGGGCTTGGTTGCTTAACCCTTGGCAGGCCTGCTTTCATGATTGAGTTATTAAAAACATTTGAAAAACTCTGAGAGCAAAGGAAAAAGGTGCTTTGGGGTATTCTTCCTTCCAGCTTCCGGCCTTCCCTCTGTCCAAGCTCCCCCTGCCCAGCGACGTTTCAAAGGTCTTCCCTGTAAGGTGCCATTTTTATCCCTCCTACTCATTTTTATGCATCTTTCTCTTTCCCCTTGATTTTGTGTCCACCGGACTCACAGAGGTTTAAGTGATGAAATATTATCACCCACATGGGTTTGCGTGGGACTTTCTTAGTGAATTACTCAGGCAGAGCAGGCTGTGATACAAGCCTTGCTCACGAGCCTCGGGAGGGAAAAAATAGCACAGAGGATGAAAAGAATATTATCAGAGAGTAGGTAATGAAAGGTTAGCAAAGCCAACAGCTATATCTAGGTAGATAGCTAATAATGCAGGAACCCAGTGCGCACCTGTATAAAGTAATACTGTACCTGCTCACAAAGCATTGTGGGAAGGCTTCCATTTCAGGATTTGATGCAGGAGCTAGTTAAGTCAAACCTGAAACTGATTAGTAATTGATCCTAAACACCTCAGCCTCAGGCAACCTCCTTCCATTTTTCAAATTGTTATGCTCAGAGATTTGAAGGCTGGAGCATCCTCACAGCATCGCTGTGGTATAACAATCTCTCTTAGGTAAAATACAGATAAAGGGAATAGAATCAAGTGACTCGTTCTATTTTTCATACCTAAGAAATTTGAGGGTTGTAATATCTTTCTGAAACCTACAGCCCTGATAAATATTAATCATCTCAGCTTCTAGCTGTCTCATTCTCTCCACCCCCTTCTGCAATGAAAGCTAAATGTAAAAGGAAAAAAAAAATATTGCACTGCTTAATAAGTCAAATACAATAGAACTTTTAAAATGTACCTGCATATAAGGTAGACATTAGGAAGACTTGCATCTCTCTCTTCCCCCTGGTCTCCTGAGCTTTATGGCAACAGCATTTTCATGAAATTGGATCTGTTTTATTTTTTTTCCCTGATAAAATATCATGCAATATACAAATAGCAGTTCCAGAAATGGACACCAGGAGAAGGAGGCGACAGCATGTCAATTAGCAGGGGGAAAATCCAAATGTCAGAAATATGGGGGAGAGATACAGCACGCAGGCAATGGAGGCGAATACAGGGACCAGAGTCCTTCAAGCTCAGATAAATTAAACCGATGCATAAGTCAGCGTTGTGCCTTCTCCACAATACGCAGGCGATGCCATACAGTTAATTATCAGCCAGGACCAGGTTGAAAGTCATTTTATGATGCCTCTCTGATCCTAATATAACAGCACCTGACAGACTGAGCCCCCTCTAATGAGTACTCTCTTTGTACGATCCTTTCTCAGGAACACTAAATCATTTGCTTCCAAGTACAGCTGCCTGTGAAGAAGGGTGGGGCTTTATCATGCCTTAGAAACCTGCTCTTGTGGAATGAGAGGCTGTCCTGTAGGCTGTTGCTGGAAGCAAGGGACCTCAGCCCCCCGCCCCTGCCGGCCCTACAAAGGCAATTTGCATGTGCTGTCCCTCACTCCTTGTGTCAAGTTGGCCAGTTAGCCCACCCTGACTCCCGCCCCCACTCCCAGCATCTGTAGACTGCTCTGGACTCTCTTCACGGAGAGTCCGACGTGGGCCGGTCTGCACTGCCATCCGGACCCTCTCTTTACCCGAGGACCGTCTGCCTTCACCCCGGCCCCTCCTGCCAAGCCTGGGTAAAAGCCCAGAGGAGCCTGTGGGAATGAGTTACCTGAAACCCAGAGAGCTTTCCCATCCTGAGGATGAGTCAGATTCTCCAGTTTCACACTCTTTCCTAGAAAAACAAAACACAACCTTGTGCCCTCTGGCTTCTCTAATTTAGCAGCTACTATCTCTCTGTCTTTACAGTGGCACCCTGCACAGTTTAAGGTTTCAGAAGCTGGCCTGCGTAGAGGCAGAAGGGAGAAGAGCAGGTAGTTTGGTACTGTTCTCTGCGGGGCAGGGGAGGAGGTGCCTGCACACTCCTGGGTGGGGGGGCTTGGGTAGCTTCCGGAAGGACCCTACCACTTCAAATCTGCTGCAGAGTGTGTCTTTTTAAATTTAAATCATTAAGCTCTCCTTCCTGGAATCTTCTCTTTCGCTTCCCACCTCTCCCCACCGACGCCACCCCCCGCCCCTGCCCCGGCAAAAACCAGCAACAGAAAACCCACCAGGTTTTAGCAAAGGGGAATACAAAGGCATTCATGGTTTGAAAAGAAATCATGCTCCCTAAAAAAAGACAGTCTCCCCTTCTTCTAACTGCTCTCTACTCTGGTGATCTAATTCTAAACCTAGCTTTATCATTCACTCTAACTCCTGTCGGAGACCCAAGGCTGGAGGAAAAGGACCCCCCACCACCACCACCACCGAGCCCAGCCCGCCCAGCCCAGCGTGCTAGCAGCTTTATACCAAGATGCCAGAGAATCTTTTGTATACATATGTAGCCTTTCCTAGCCCTGGCCTCAGTGAATTTACCACTATCAGAATCACAGTGTGCAGAGTGTGTTAAATTAAGAACAGAATCTACAGTGTGCAATGCACAGAAAAGCCTGCCTTCTGCTGCAGAGAACTTGAAACTGTGCCGAAAATTTATAGTACCGTAAACATCTCAGGGCTGAGAGTGATAAGTATGGCTGGATTTCCGTTTGCTATAGAAATCCAGGCAGGGAGACCCTCCTAGGGAGTTGCGAGTTCTAAGATGACCTTCCCTAACATTGTTCTCAGATTTGTGTACGGAATTTGTGCACACCGGACAGTGGTAAGCGGGTACACGCACGCAGGAGGCGGTTGGGCAAAGAGCACATGTTTCATAGACCACCGAGTGGTGAAAGTGCAACCGAGGGACGATGTTTCCTCAATCAGAGAATTCCAGTCCGGACACCTGCTCCTTACAGTAATCGTTGCCGCATGTATAGACATACAGGTGCTTATGGAAAAGGAGAAGGGAACGGTTTAAGTTAGGCAAGAACTGAATGGTCTCTGAATCCAACTGTCTCGCCAGTGTGGGGATTTCCTTTCCGTTAGTAGCAGTTGCTGTAATTGGGGCTCATTAAGCTGCATTCAGAAGGGAAGGAGGCAAAAACGGGGGACGCAGCAGTGGGAAGTGGATCGCTTAATGTAACTTGACTGGATGCTAAAGATGTGATTGCCTCGTTCCTGGTAAACACTGGGCCATGACAGTGAATGAGATAGATAGGATCTCAGACTGTCTAGTTGTCTCAGACTGGGGGCATCCAAAATCAGACTGACGGTGGTGGGGGGGCAAGGGGGTCAGGAACTGAACCCTTATCAAGGGCAGCCACTGAGGGTGATGTGTTGGCAGCAGGAATATTCTAGGCAGGGGTCACCGCCTGGAGGTGAGAGAGTGTATGGGATGCACCTGACCTCGAACAAACACCCTGTGGCTGCACCACAGAGGACGGGGCACTGGGAGAGAGCTGGAGTTGAAGGCGAAGCTGTGGAGGATGGGTCGTTTCTGTTTTATACTTGCTTAGTGGAGCAATGATTGGAGAGGGGCCTGGCTCCATGCTGGAGAGCCAAATGCAAGAAAAGGCTGTTGCAGCGACCCAGGAAAGAAAGGATGGAGGGGTGGGGAAGGTCGTGGCCAGGGAGGAGGAGGCTAGCTCGGTGGGCACTGGCCCCACGTACTTACATGGGGGAGGGGGGTGTCTGTGTATTTCTGTGGAAATAGCACCACTTTCACAACTTGCTAGAGCTCACAGTGGGTTTTCATCCGGGTTAGGCCAAGCCTACAGTCGAGTGGGCCCAATGTCATTATGCCATTCCCATTTTATAGAAGATGAAACTGAGGTTAAGCAGTGAACAGACGCAGACTGCCTCCCCCCGCCCCCGGCCCCAGGCTCCCGGACACTGACTGAGATCTAGGCTCTCTTCTTTTTTGGAGCCAGGAGTTGACAGATTTTCTCCGGAAAGGGCCAGAGAGCAAACATTTTAAGCTCTGTGGGCCTGTCTCTGTCATGGCTATCCAACTCCATGATCTAATGCAAAAGCAGCCATAGACGACCTAGAAAGAAATGAGCATAACTGTGGTCCCATAAAACTTCATTTATGGGCACTGAAGTGTAAATTTCCTATAATTTTCACATGTCACAAAAATACTCTTTTTCCTCGACCATTTAAAAATGTCCACACCGCCCTGCCCGCCCGCGGGCCGTAACTCGCTGACCCCTGCCGCAGATGGCTCGCAGCAGAGGCGCTGCGCGTGCCTGAAACGAGTGGGTGGTGACCCCCAGCACAACTAACGAGTGTCCCTGCTCTCTCTCTCTCTCGTGCTGTGTTTCGTCTGCAGGCACTGCCAGGAAAACGCTGCACTTTGAGATTTCCAAAGAAGGCAGTGACCTGTCGGTGGTGGAGCGGGCCGAAGTCTGGCTCTTCCTCAAAGTCCCCAAGGCCAACAGGACCAGGACCAAAGTCACCATCCAGCTCTTGCAGAAGCAGCCCCAGGGCAGCGGGGACGCAGGGGAGGAGGCCGAGGAGAGGGGCTTCACGAAGGAAAGGAACGAAGTGTTGATATCGGAAAAGGTGGTGGATGCGAGCAAGAGCACCTGGCACATCTTCCCGGTGTCCAGCAGCATCCAGCGGTTGCTGGACCAGGGCAAGAGCTCCCTGGACGTTCGGATTGCCTGTGAGCAGTGCCACGAGACCGGCGCCAGCCTGGTGCTCCTGGGCAAGAAGAAGAAGAAGGAGGAGGAGGGGGAAGGGAAGAAGAACGGAGGAGACGGAGGGGCAGGGGGAGAGGAGGACAAGGAGCAGTCCCACAGACCTTTCCTCATGCTGCAGGCCCGCCAGTCCGAAGACCACCCTCATCGGCGAAGGCGGCGGGGCTTGGAGTGCGACGGTAAGGTCAACATCTGCTGTAAGAAACAGTTCTTTGTCAGTTTCAAGGACATCGGCTGGAACGACTGGATCATCGCTCCCTCCGGCTATCACGCCAACTACTGCGAGGGTGAGTGCCCGAGCCACATAGCAGGCACGTCGGGGTCCTCGCTCTCCTTCCACTCGACGGTCATCAACCACTACCGCATGCGGGGGCACAGCCCCTTCGCCAACCTCAAGTCGTGCTGTGTGCCCACCAAGCTGAGACCCATGTCCATGCTGTACTATGATGATGGGCAGAACATCATCAAGAAGGACATTCAGAACATGATAGTGGAGGAGTGTGGGTGCTCATAGAGCGCCCCGCCCAGGGGGGACGGGAGCCAGAGTTGTCCAGACAAGACAGTGGCAAAATGAAGAAATGTTTAAGGTTTCTGAGTTAAACAAGCAGAAAAAAAAAAAATAGAAATTAAAAAAAAATAAACTAAAAACAAAACCTGAAACAGATGAAGGAAGATGTGGAGAAATTCCTTAGACAGGGCTCAGAGATGAAGCAGTGAGCAAGATGGGAATTGGGAGGGAGAGGGAGAACAGCACCCCCTTCATTTCTTCTGATATCAAGGTGATGACATCAGTTGCTTACATGGGAGTATTGTCCCCTCCTTTTCAGTCCCCTTTTCAGTGTGAGCCTCGAAGTCGACTTGTCTAGTCTGCAATAACGTGGGCTGGCACAACCCAAATAGCATCTAGAAAGCCATGAGTTTGAAAGAGCCAGTTACAGGCACTTTCCCACCCAGTTACCCAGGTTGTAAGGTATGTCTGTGTGACCCTCTCTCTGTGTATATCAGCCCGTGCGCACACGCACACAGACACACACACACACACACACACACAGAGGCATTTCCACACGACACATGCATACACATACTGGTAAGGGAACAATAGTGTGCAGGTGGTCACACTTCTTTTTCTGCACCAGTTTTGCAACAAAGCAAAACGAAACAAAAAACCAACCTAAAAAAACAAAACAAAACAAAAATTTGAGAACAAGAATGGGAAGAGAGCAAAATCAAGGAACAAAGAATACCAAGTTACATTTCGTTAAGGTGCTTATGATCTTAGTACTATGCAACCTAATAGGTTTGAAACTGTTTACCTGAGAGAGAACAAAATGAGAGACTTTTTTGTATTGGAAGTAACCTGATTAATTTTTATTTTCTTCAAGGAGAGATACTTGAAAGGAATATGTTTGTCCATCTGTTGGATCCAAACATTTCTATATTTTGTAAATGTTGTTTTTTTTTTTATCGTTTACTATTTGCACTACAATGGTGTTTGACCTGTCTAATCCTTATTTAACAAGTATTTTCTTTGGGTGGGGGTGGGGGGGGTTTAAGAGCTGCACTTAATGTGAGCTATAAGAGAACTGCTACAGCACACAAAATAGCTATTTTTATTATTATAATTATAATTATTATTATTATTTTGTACCTTAAAAAATAGACACATACACCAAAGACATTTGTGTGAGCCTTTAAAACAGTCTGTCTGTGGTTGGTATCATTCACCATCAGTGAGTCAGGGGTTGGGATTCAAGGCGGAGGAGGGTGGATTGTGTTCAGGCTGAAAAGACCTGAGAAGTTTGGTTTTTGACTCCTTTGACATCCATGAAACGGGACATTTCATACTGGATGTACAGTAGTTGTACACTGTTAGCTATCATAGAACACTACATGCTTGTCTGTGTATATGTACATGGCTTGTGCATATGCATACCTGTGTGTATATATACATGGATCGCATCATGCCCAGGCACATTTTAAGCACGTCAGGCTGTCATTTTGTAATGTTCTTAAAGCAATGAATGTTTGTGTGCAAAACACAGTATTTTTAAGAAGGATAGGCTATAGTTTTTGCTTTTCCTCCGAACTAGGTGGGCACATTTCAAAAAATGTGGATGGGAAGAAGCCTGGAAACTCCAGTGACTATTCATCAAGACCCTCTTTCATTGTGCAGGGACCCAGCTCCGTCCTCTCTCTCGCCCCCCCCCCACCCACCCACCTCTACCCCACCAGGTATTCCCTGCAGGGAAAACAGGAAACTCATGTTCTTCAAGGTTCTAGGCTGATTTTTTTTGTGTGTGTTGTGACATATTTATTATCTATTGGAATCAATCTTAAATCAGAAAGCTTTTTCAGAAAGAAAAAAAAATTCATCTTTAGGCCAAAATAAGAGTTGGGTACTTTTTTTTTTTTTTTTTTTATGATTAAGGCCTAATTCTGAGAAATATGACTGGCTGGGCTAAATAATGTTGTTGTCACTAATTAAAAGATAACTTGGGGGGAAGGTCTTAAGAGATTGAGAAGAAGAAAGAACTGCAGGGTGGCATCAGTGGCAAAAATCCCTAATATTTTAATTTACAGCCAAAACTCTTGATATATAAGTTTGTATGTATTGACTCAGAGGCAAAAAAGAAAAAAAAACACTTGTTTTATAAATATCAAAGTACATGCTTAAAGCTAAATTTCTACTAATTTATTCCACAGTATTTAGCTTGCCTAGAATAGCTAATAAGTTATTCATTTATATGCTTTTAAAAATACAGAGCCTTATTTTTACTGACTTGTTTGAAGTTTGCAAAAATTGAAAAAAATACTAATAATTTGGAAAAATTGCATTCATTAGTATTTTGTAAAATACTGAAGCTTTCAGCCCTATGTCAATTCATAGATTTTTTAAAAAAATTAGCTGTAGGAAAATAAAATAGTGAGAAACCAAACATTACTAAAGGTGGTTTAGCTCTTCTTGAAATATATATACTAAATTGGTGTACTATAACACTAGGCTGTATGTAGGCAAATTATTTTAATGTTGTTACTGGGTAGATATACTTACTACATCTTGAGGTCCACCCTTTCTTATGCAGAAATACAACATGTACTCCATGAGAGTGGACTCTAAATTTGAGAGGGAGAGCGTGCAAAGTTGGTACTTGCTTCCTCACTCTTAACCATTGACCAGGAAATCATTCAGGTGGGGAAGGTGGGCATGGTGAGGGAAGTTTCAAGGAGAGGGGTATGGCGATGTTCAACTTTAGAAATTTGCATGAAAAACTTAAAGGGCCTTTTGGACTGCTTCTTATTTGGTAGTGGCACTAATAATGGAACCCATGAAAATAGTGTGGGGAACCAAGTCCTAGTTCACAGTGTACTAGCAGAGATGGCCAGGGCAGTGGGAAAAGCACGATGCTTGAAAGACAGCTGATACCTGTTTGTGGCTCCCATTCATCTCAAGTGTGTGCGCCATCTTGTTTAAAAGAGTGTTCGACACAGTGGGGATAAGAAGGAGTTTGATTGGTGGCCATAGTGATTGGAAGCGGAGCAAAATGAAATTCCATATGACAATATTTTAATGGGATGTGTTAATTGAAATTAAATGATTAGATTGTCAAACATCCCCAAACTTTGACATTATTTCATTAAATTTATGTGGCCTTGAACTAGAATTATAAATTGCTGCTATCTTTAATAATCTTGGAAGATATGCAGGTTTGTAAACAACCACACTTTTCATGTAGCAGCATGAGGCCAAAAGAAAAAGCTTTTAAATTCTACCATATTGGGTTCCTCGCAGTAGGTTTTCCTTAAAACAGGGTGGCTCTATCTGATCTTAGCATCTCTCTACTCTTTCTCTAGGGCTGATCTCTAGGCTCTTAAAAACCTACTCATACCAATCTTAAAAGCTCTGAAAAGTATTTGTCCCCAAGTATTTTTTAAGAATGATAAATATTTGGTAGTTTGGATTCTTTTTTTTTTCTTTCTCTTTCTTTTTCTTTCTTTCTTTCTTTCTTTCTTTCTTTCTTTCTTTCTTTCTTTCTTTCTTTCTTCTTTCTTTCTTTCTTTCTCTTTCTTTTTCTTCTTTCTTCCTTTCTTTTTTCTTTCTTTCTTTCTTTCTTTCTTTCTTTCTTTCTTTCTTTCTTTCTTTCTTTCTTTCTTTCTTCTTTCTTTCTTTCTTTCTCTTTCTTTTTCTTCTTTCTTCCTTTCTTTTTTCTTTCTCTTTCCTTCTTTCTTCCTTGCCTTCCTTCTTTCTTTTTATTTTTTTCAAAAAAAGCATGGCAAATTCCAGCACACTGAGTTGGGATTTTCTTGTCCCTAAAGACCAATCAATTTCATAGATATTTAAGATTGATTCCACACTTTGTTTTCAAGGAGAATGCCTGCATTCTCCTCTAAGGAAGAGCAAGTGAATTTTGTTTTTCACCCCCCATGGGATTGGACCTCAAAAAGTAACTTTAAAAAACAGAGAACACAAATGCCTCAGTTGTATTAAGCTTAGATTCAAATTATTATGTTCACTTGAAAAAAATGATTTCCTGGGGGCCTTTTGGCAACTTCCCTTTTCAGTGTAGAGAAGAACTTAGTCACCCTGAAACCCTACAGAATAAATTGGAACTTGTAGATGTGGGCAGAAGGTTTGGGGGTGGACATTGTGTGTGTTTAAATTAAACCCTTTATCACTGAGAAGCTGTTGTATGGGTCAGAGAAAATGAATGCTTAGAAGCTGTTCACATCTTCAAGAGCAGAAGCAAACCACATGTCTCAGCTACATTATTTATTTTTTATGCATAAAGTGAATCATTTCTTCTGTATTAATTTCCAATGAGTTTTACCCTCTATTTAAATGCTTTGAAAAACAGTGCATTGACAATGGGTTGATATTTTTCTTTAAAAGAAAAATATAATTATGAAAGCCAAGATAATCTGAAGCCTGTTTTGTTTTAAAACTTTTTATGTTCTGTGGTTGATGTTGTTTGTTTGTTTGTTTTTATTTTTTTATTTTTATTATTATTTTTTTTTTTTGGCATACTACATGCAGTTCTTTAACCGACGTCTGTTTGGCTAATGTAATTAAAGTTGTTAATTTATATGAGTGCATTTCAACTATGTCAATGGTTTCTTAATATTTATTGTGTAGAAGTACTGGTAATTTTTTTATTTACAATATGTTTAAAGAGATAACAGTTTGATATGTTTTCATGTGTTTATAGCAGAAGTTATTTATTTCTATGGCATTCCAGCGGATATTTTGGTGTTTGCGAGGCATGCAGTCAATATTTTGTACAGTTAGTGGACAGTATTCAGCAACGCCTGATAGCTTCTTTGGCCTTATGTTAAATAAAAAACCTGTTTGGGATTTATTTTTTATTTTTATTTTATGTCTTCCTGGTTTTCCAAGATCAATTTTGCACACATATTGGTACACCCTTTGCTGGGTGATGATTTCGTTTCTCCTGTAATTATCGGGACAAGCATGAGAATACAGACTGAATGGGAGAGAGAAGACAAAAGCTGGAACGAGAGAACTCAGAGAGGAAAAGAATAAATATTGCTGTGGCAAGGCTTTGTAATAGGCTGCAGATGCTTGGACCAGCAATAGATATATTTTATTCATTTTGTTAATTTCCCATTTCTCAAACTGTAGTGGCGAATAACATGAAATAAAGTAATATTCCTTTCTTCCTTCCCCTCTTCTCTCATTCCCTCCCTCCTTCCCTTCTTCCCTCTCTCCTTCTGTCCCTCCCCCCTTCTTCCTCCTTTCTTCCTTCTTTCCCTTCTGGCTAGAAAATTGGAATTGCAGGGAGCACGTAGGGCTAGAAAAAGATATAACTTAGGAAAGAAAAGAACAGGGACCAACAGGACCAATACGGCCTCACAGAAGTCTAGTCAAGGATGAATTGACTGATCTTTCTTTCTATAGGTTTTGCTGTAGTATCTGTGTCCATCTAAGGGGTTATATGGAGGCAGTAACACCTGTAAATGCCCATGTGAACCAAGCAAGTCCCCATGTGACCACCCGGTAGATGTTTTCCCTTTTACAGATGAATCAGAGGCATCAAGTAACGTTAATTGGAACGAAGATTCCAAGCCAGGTCTGTATTCAAGTTTAAAGTTTACCTCATTATTATTATTTTGCTGCTCCATACTCCATTTTGGTG